GTGAAGTCCACCACCTTAGCTCGTTCTCCGCTTAAAATGAAAGGGCCAACGCCAATACTTGCTTCCTGTATAAAATATAAGTCATATTTATGACATATACATATAACAGACATTTATCTTGTCACACAACAATGTCCCCACGCCTCTAGCTGAGCTTCAAATCTTATTATCCTACAAAAAACGAGAAAAAACACTGGAATATATGATATTCAACCAGGCAAAGACCAACCTGCCTGACAACATAGGAATTACGTGATCTCATTGTCTAACTGACATTATCTCATATAAGTCTAACTTGCAGTTTTCAGGTCACTGTGTCACTCTACTTCCTGCCTATTTATATACTGATATTTCAACCTGTATGTGTTAGAAGTAATCAAGGTCCCAGGAACGGAACTTTCTAATATGTCCTAGTGTTTGCCTACGTGTCTTTCTAAACCAATAAAAGGATGATGCCCAGAAGACAGCAATGGAATTGTACTAATGTGACGTAGTCACTGTGACTAAGAAATGAACTCTTGGCAAAATGTTAAGCCCGATATTAGCACCGTTATCACTGGTGCAAAGTCATTAATCTCTAAACTGGTGAGTGTTAACCAAAACTTAATCAATATACCAGTTAATGAAGCTAACAATGGTCTCTCAGCCTTAAAATTTCATGCCTTGAGGAAATTACCTGGTTGGGCGTAGTGTCTTCCTTGGTACACTCACCTCCCTGATCACCATGCCTACCATGCCAGACCAAGACCCGTTGTCAAGTTTAGCACCCCAGACTCCGTCAGGAGGACGCACCTTGGAGTACCTGGTGAGATCAGTATTTACGTTTTTACATTTATTTAACATGATAAATGCAGAGATAACTAACACATAGGAGAGAGGAGCTTATGACGACGTTTCGATCCGACCTGGGCCATTTACAACTCACTGTGTGACTTGTAAATGGTCCAAGTCGGGTATACCTGGAATATACCTGTAGATTTACTATTAGGATCATATGTGATTCTATACTCTCCTAATTTACTGGGATCGTGTCACAGTTCCTGGTCTCACCTCTTAATTTGCAAGCGCTGATAGTATTGGTTCGTGGATTTTTTTATTTTTCGTGTACGTGTGAGAGCAAGATTCTGCATCTTTGTAATTACCCTAGCTGTACTTCCCTAGCTTGGTTTGCTGGTGCTGAGCTCTGGCTCTTGGCCAGATTCTCGTATTTGATCGACTGAAGAAATATTTGGTGGCAAATCTAATTCTGAGCTTATATGTAAGTGCATCCTCTACCCCATCGCTTCGTTGCCAATTCTCAGCCTTAATTTAAATACTTATTCTCTGAGTCTAGCTTATCTTGGTGCTCGGTTTCCATCTGCGTGTCTTCGTCTTGGTTCCTTCCATGTATGTGTCCTTGCGTCCAGTGTGTATCTCCCCAGTGTGTATCGTTGCGTCCAGAATGGATATAAATGCTCTGGAAAACGTACAGAGGAGGATGACAAAGATGATCCCATGTATCAGAAATATTTCCTATGAGGATAGACTGAGGGCCCTGAATCTGCACTCTCTCGAAAGGCGTAGAATTAGGGGGAATATGATCGAGGTGTATAAATGGAAAACAGGAATAAATAAAGGGGATGTAAATAGCGTGCTGAAAATTTCCAGCCAAGACGAGGCTCGCAACAATGGTTTCAAGTTGGAAAAATTCAGATTCAGGAAGGATATAGGAAAGCATTGGTTTGGTAATAGAGTTGTGGATGAGTGGAACAAACTCCCGAGTACAGTTATTGAGGCTAAAACGTTGTGTTGTTTTAAAAATAGGTTAGATAAATACATGAGTGGGTGTGGGTGGGTGTGAGTTGGACCTGACTAGCTTGTGCTGCTGGGTCTGGTGCAGTGCTCCATCCTTGAGTGGAGATGACCAGACTGGGTGGTTCATTGGGCTAATCCGGGGGGGGGGATATGACCCTGCCTACTGACCCTGCTCCGCATGGGTCAGTAGGCCTGTTGCAGTGTTCCTTCTTATGTTCGCTCCTGTTCTGGTCCCTCCAGTGTATCCTCTCCCCTTTTTCCTCCCCATGCCAAACACTGTTCTCATTTACTTTACTGATGGATCGGGAATTTTTTTACGTCGGGACTAAATATAATTATTGTTTATGATTATCAGCCTAGTTGCGAGGCTTCAGTTTATATGACCTTCATCTATTGTCAATGTAAGGGTTTCACACTGGTACTGTTTACTCAAATACTGGTCCTGCGTTTGTAATCTTCAATGGAAATATATTTTGTTTTGGATGACTGAAGAATTCTGTCCCGCTTGAAGGAAAGTGATTTATTTTCATTATTGGTTCAGCTTAAATAATTTGAGCTGACCTGACAATCTCGGGACAACGAGATTGTCAGGTCACCTTTTATTCATCAACAGTCATTCATTACGACTTAAATTGAGTACAGTAAAGGTTCTACTTACGAAAAGTTGAGAGCTTGAGCAAGATAGTCGAGGAGGTCTGCCATAGGTCCGCTAAAGTGATACCTGGGTCCCCCGGGAGACCCAGCATCACTCACTATCATCCTATGAAATGGGTTGCCCTCTGACGCCGCCAGCAAGTGTGGCTTGTGAAGGAATCTGTCAGAAAAGTTAAACTTCACCGTATGTGTTACGTTTGTAACACATACGGTATTAATGTTTTTAATCATTTGTTCAATTAACTTCACTTAAGTTACTGATTTAACCTTTTTCATTATTATTATTATAATCAAAAAGAAGCGCTAAGCCACAAGGGCTTAACCTTTTTTTCAATTCTTAACTATACTTCAGATCTATGGTTAACATTGCTTCGTCAGAATGTTGTTCGTGGCTTCAGTCTGAATTTCTCTAAATCCTTGTGCATTTACATATCAATAGCACATACATAATATGTGAGTTCTACACTTCCTCTTGAACTACCTGGTATTTTTTATGGGACTTACTTGGAGAACTTGTCAGGGAAGAGTGGAAGGTGGGTGGTGAGAACGAGGCCTCGACGTGGTGTCCAGAAACCCAGCCACAGAGGTTTAGTTCCCCGGGGAGTGAATGGAAGCTGTACATACATGTTGCATCTGTATTAGTTACGGTCTTTATTAGTTACGAAACATGGGAATTGTTGTTTCAGAACGTGACTGAGAGATCACAAAAGCTCTTGGAACATAAACATCTTTCAGTGTGGTTAATTTGCATATTAAGATACAACTTGTTCCTTGTGTAAACATTACCTGAAGCTTGTTAAGTCGTCAGATATAACAAGCAGCATCGCATTCATCTTGGAGAAGACGGTGCTGTGAACCTGCAGCTGCAGGAGAGGCAGAGATGTAACGACAAGGAACCTCGTCGACCACACCAGAAGTCGACCATCGAGGGAGAAGTCGACGAAGGCGGCGAGGAAGGCCACATCGTCACTTATCACCACAAATGTGGTGTGTGATGTAACCTGACGCAGCTGCCGTGAAGGAATATTGCTACAGCTTCGTGTGGTGGGAAATTGCCGTGAATCCTGCCCCTCGACTTTAACCTTATAAGTTTTCTCGTCATATGAGCAATGTAATTTATCTTTTACAAAACAAGTGTTGTGATTTTAGAATGTAGAAGCAACTGTGAAGGATTACGCTAGAATCTACAGGATTCACGTTAAATATAGTTGGAGAAGGAATCTTTTGAATGACACATAAAGGTAATCTTAGCAATGTGAATGTAATTACTGAGTGATGCGTAATAGTGGTGCAATTTAATCAATGAAACCAATGTGAAAATAATGGAACATAATGCTAGAGCAATGTAATCAATGAAGCAAGCGGGAAAATAATGCAGTTAATGTAACAACAAATCGAAAGTAACTTAATGGCGAGTCATGAATTGATTCCATGATGAAACAACATAAGAGCGACCTACTCTTTTAACATGAGTCAACCTAGTCACCTGAGCATCAACGACATGACATCAACCTACTCTCTTAACGTGAGGAATCAACGAAGACAATTGAGTCACTGTTGTGTTGGCGTCCTGGCTTGCCACTGCTGCCTCGAACACTCCAACACCACCTGGAATCCGTTGATGATCTGTTATCTGTAATCAACGAAAATTTGCACTCGCACAAAGGTATAATGATCCACAAGAAGACTTATGCGATAAAAACCACTTCGACTTTGTCAAATCATTCACGATTTGATAATTGGATAGAACTTCTGAGTTTTATCTCAACATTATTCACTAGCTGTGAATTCTCTGTCTATAGTTTACACACTTCAAGTTTACAATGAAAGTCTTACAGTGAAGAGTGTGGAGGCTGAGGTGGTGCCATCTGTGAGGAAAACAATGGAGTAGCTTGAGTGTGAGGCAGCATCCAACACAGCCTCCAGCAGCCTCGCCACTGACGATGCTCTAATCTCTTCATCTGCCGGAAGAACATATGATCTCCACTCTACTGCTGTGAAACATGGGGAAATATTATTTGTTACTATCGAATTAATGGGACGTGGCCCACTTATGGAATGTTTGAAAGTTCTTTTTTTTATTATTTAAACGTTCGGATAAATCGAGACTCGGAAAATCGTAATAACACGATTGCAAAGAAACCACGGAACGGGTGGCGTTTGAACCCTGCTGATGCAGGGCTCGTGATCCAAGAAATTGGAACCCATTCATTCCTAATTCGGGTGAGCTATACCCCAAGGCTTTAGTACCTCCCAATAAATATTTTCGTGGGTTAATTTTAGACCTGGAGGCCACGACCCTTCCTGACACACGTGAGGTCGGCAGATCAATTTTCCGAACTCTATTAAAATTATTTTCATGGCATGGTATCTCATTCCATATATACATACTGCCTGAATATAGCAAGAAATGATTAATACTTCCCTTCAAAGGCATTAATATTACCAGGAAGCATCAGTAGGAAATGTGTCATCTTACCAGAAGGTGCTAAGTGCGTGACTCCCACAGACATGACAGCAGCCAACAACACATGTGACGTCACACTCACCATTACCCTCACTGTCTCGCTGGAAGAAAAAGAATATAGTAGTAGCTGAAATGACTCCAAATTACCAGAAACTGCCATAGTCCTCTATATTTTACTAACATTCAGTAATGTGTGCGCTGAATGACCCTCATGGGTCTAAGCCTTTATTTGTATATTAAAAAAATGTACATAAGCTAGTTTCTTTATTATTTTGTTGTTGAATAAGGTAAGAAGTTTTTCAGTCATCGTAATTTCAAAGTGAGACCGCTGGGCTGTACTTATTTCTTTTGATCAGTATTTATTTGAGATTGTTTTGCAATTAGTAGTTATCGTTCGTTATTTCTGAACTGTGTTGCTTCTGACGATGGAGTTATATTATGGAAGCAACTCCAGTTAAGGGAATCCGTTATCCTCTATTATGGCAGAAAACAATACCAGCATTATTTCTGCTGCTATTCCCCCTATTTACGACTACCACTACTGCTGCTTCTGTTGCTACTCGCACTACATACTACTACCACTACTACTTCTGCTGCTATTCCCCCTACTTTCGACTACTGCTTCTGCTGTTACTCCCCCTACTTACTACTACCACCACTACTACTGCTGCTGCTACTCCCCCTACTTTCGACTACTGCTTCTGCTGCTACTCCCCCTACTTACTACTACCACCATCACTACTGCTGCTGCTACTCCCCCTGCTTACTACTACCACCATCACTACTGCTGCTGCTACTCCCCCTACTTACTATTACCACTACGACTACTGCTGCTGCTACTCCCCTACTTACGACTACCACTACTACTTCTGCTGCTATTCCCCCTACTTACGACTACCACTACTGCTTCTGCTGTTACTCCCCCTATTTACTACTACCACTACTACTGCTGCTGCTGCTTCCACCACCAGCATTACCTCTATCACTTCTTCCCCACTTCCTTCCTCTCTGCCCCGTCACTGTCCTCTCCTATATATACTGGCTCCCTCACCTTTGTGTATTAGTTTGACATGTAAATGGTCCAAATCAGACCGAAATGTCGTCGTAAGCCCCTCTCTTCTATATGCGGGTTATTTATGCATTGTTACAGTCACGGTATTGTGCCTTGTTTGCTCCCTTTGTTAAATATATTTGAGCTTCAACATCCGTGTTTACATTGTTTGATGTTGACATTACTGACATTCTTTTATATTTAAACTTAAATCATGATGATTCAGTTTTCCCCTTAAATATATTGTACACATTTGTTAATTTTCAGACTATTGATGGTTACTTTAGATTTTAATAAGTCTGGCGTGGCTCCTGCTTTACGACCCTTGTAGGTTTACCGCTTTCTTATGATTGTAACAATTGTTATAGCTCCTATGTGTTCAAATATAAGACGACTGTAATATATACATAGGACATGATTCTGACATTAGGTATATTTTGAAAAAATCTAAATTACACGCATTACAGTCTTGCTCTCATGCGCCTTATACGACGGCATGAAACACCATTACGAAGTTCATGTATCAGACACTTTACTTAAAGGGTCGATAAGATTTTGTTTATAGTCTAAGTCATATGGAAAAAAAATTATAAAAAAACAAAATATAATCATTCTTTTATTTTCTCTAAATATTGATACAGACACGAACACATGAGCAGCATCACGCGAGCGAGTAGCGAGTATCTTAGTTTGCGAAGATACAATAGTGGACAGTTATAATAATCAAGTATAGCTCGGGGTTAAGGGACAATTCTCTAAGTTCGAGGATTTTAAGTTTAATTCTTCAAGCGTCTTGAAGATTTGACGGCTGAGAGTCTTGAGCGTGTGTGGTTCCTCAGCATCAGCGGGTTATTTATTCCTCAGCGTCTTGAAGATGTTTCTCTGCATCTCAAGATGTTATTCCTCTGCATCACAAGATGTTGCTACACAGCATCCTGGAGTACGTTTCCTTTGTTTTAAATAGTTCCTGTGAAAAGGGTCATTCGCCATAATTTTCATTAAAAATACAACAGTTTACTCATTAGTCACCAATGCATAAATTACCCCACGCGACGGGCTGGAGTTTTGAGACTCTATGACCGCGGGTTCAATCCCGGCCGGGGGTATGGTTTATTTGCAATCGTGTCATTACGATTTCTTGAGTCATGTTGACGGCAGTGAAGGGACTTGAGCTAGAGTTCGTCACGGCCACGCTAGCTGGAGATTCGTCTGTAAAAACTTGCATTTGTGGTCACAGAGGTGCCTGTGCTAACTTTCCTATGGTGTAGAAATATACCTAGTTGGATGAATCTTATTGTGGCTAGCTGGTCTAGTGGCTAACGCGACGGGCTGGAGTTTTGAGACTCTATGACCGCGGGTTCAATCCCGGCCTGGGGTATGGTTTATTTGCAATCGTGTCATTACGATTTCTTGAGTCATGCATAAATTACCGTTGTATTTATTGTGTGTAATAAAGACTTAAGTGGGAGATAATATCCAGGGTTCCCTCGGGCGATATTTTGTCATGGATAGATAAAAATGGTGCAGTGTAGTCAATAAAAACACAAGCTTGAGAAAGGGTGTTAACTTCTCAGTGATAAACATTTTGTTGTTGAGTTCTCAAATATTCTTCGCTATTGTTGTGTACACATTCACGGATCTTCCAACAGTCTGAATAAGAGGCACAATAGGGGTCGCTTTCATTCCAGTGGCTGCATTGTGAAACAGTATCTGGTTGGCAACCGATTGCTAGTGGCTTGTATTTGGTAGAAAATTTGTACAAACTGTAATGAATCTTGCGGGAGCTACATTGCACGTCGCATTTTCTTGGCGAGGAGTGGTTGGCTGCGTCTTGTTTTTGACATGACCCCCTTGCAGCCAGCGGTGAATCCCCGCGGAAAACGAGACACGCTGACGGCCCAAAAGATCCACGATGCCACGGAGGACATGCCACCCACCCATAAATGCACAAACTGTGCGTTTTGCTATTACCGTTGGCTGGCACTTGCTCGGTCCCGCATTATGCTCCTCTGTGGAAAAGGGAATGAGAAATGTTGTCACGACTCGGCAACATCTAAATTAAAATATGCAATTTGGCGGCCTCAAGAACTATATGTGCGCTTGCCGATTATAACTTTAGCTGCATTTTACGAAAATTTGAAAACTGTCTCTACTAGTGATAATTTTGGCAAATATATGTGATTTAAAATTTTTCCCAAAGGGAAGTTTTTTTTTTCTCTTATTTCGGTGGTCTCTTTCAACATATATATCTCAGTTCCTCCTGTACCTCCCTAGGACATAGCTCTGTTGTATCCTCCTGTACTTCCCAAGGACATGGCTGTGTGTTTTCCTCTTGTCCTTTCCAAGGGCATACTGTGAGATCCTCGTGTACTTTCCAGGACATAACTGTTTTTAACCTAATCATACCTAACACTGGGCATGGTCGTCTATTCATTCATTACTTCCCAACGGTGACTGTTTCTGATCACCCATTAGATGAAGATGGAAAAAAAGGGGGATTTCTGGCAGATTTTAGCTCTAAACCCACGACATCTTTGTGTACGTCGAAATAGATGGCAACGTTGTACCATTTTTACACCAGAACCCAAATAAGTTTTCAAAAATAGAAAGTCGGCCTATTTTAGCCGAGGTCCCCAGAGAAATTTTTTTTTCCCACCTTTTTCCCTTTAAACTTTCCAAAACATTCATACATACAGTTAAATCAATTTTAAGACTTTAAAATAGTTTTCGTTTTTTTTTCCTTATCTTTTGTGTCAACCATTTAGTGTCACAAGATGAAGATGAAACCCGGAAAAAAATGAGGCTACGAGTATTTTAAACCTGTTGACCTTTGGAACAAGGTAAAAACCAAGTATCATCTAGGAAAGAACCTTTTCTTCGCCAGGTTCTGAGTTGTTTACGAATACCTTTACACAAAACAAACCTTTGGACGAACTTCACAGCGGTACTTCATGAAGTGAAGGACATAGCTTTTGTGTATTTTAGCACAAACAAGACTCGTCCAGAGAAAATTACCAACGAAAAAACTTGATTATGTGGAAATTTGAAAAATACATTTTACCGTACAAGGTGAAATATGGGCATTTCCCCGGAGAACATTATTTAACATTCTTGATAATTCTTCAGTTAATAAGAATATGAGGGGAACCTTAGAAACTTCCTCCTAAACCACCACATCGAGTCGAGTCTTTAAGCGAGAATAGACTAAAAGAGAAAGTACCGCAGTTCCCCCACCAAACTTGGGTTCTTGCCAATTGTCCCAGACAATATATTATGTCATTCCTCAGTCCTGATATATTCACAAAGCTTCTTTTTATGTGCTTTAAGATAACGTGCACAACCAACCTCTCTGAGTCGAGGGATGGTAAAGTGGAGATCAGTCCTGCAGCCGAGAGAATCACTGAAGACTGAAAACATGAGAGAGGACAGCACCAGTTTTTTTTGAGGCTGAGAGCCACATGATCACCCACGATTGGTCAACGGCAGAGCCTGTAAGAAAATTTTAAGAGATTTGATTGGTTTTCGATAAAAGGTGTGTCTTCAAGACTCCCAACACGGCAAATGACTTCTCTTATTTTACCTACGGCGTATTATATATATATATATATATATATATATATATATATATATATATATATATAATATTTATATATATATATATATATAAATATTATACATATATATTTTATGTCGGGGCCGAATATTTTAAAACTGGTTAATTAGCAAGAACTCATTTAAAATTAAGTCCTTTCAAAAATTTTCTCTTATACGTTAAAGATATTTTTTTTTCATTAATGTTAATGTAACAATTTTTAATTTTGCACCAAAAAAATTTTAGAAAACTTACCTAACCTTATATAACAAGAGCAATTTATTTTAGCCTAACCCAACTAAATATATTTTAGATTTGTTTCAATAATTTAATACTAAACAAACCCCAGTGAAATATATTTTTTTCGTTAGGTTAGAATGATTTTGGCGAAATTATTGCATACACAAATTTCTCTTGTCCTTATGGCAAGATGAGCGTTTGC